GTCATACCGCATCTCGCGAACGGACAAAGCGCGGCAACGCACCCGAGAATGCCTGGCGATATGCTGGGAATGCGCGAGATATCGCTAGTGTCCAGAAAGAAACGAGAGAGTTCTTCGATATGGAAATATCCGTCGAAATATCAAAAGTGAATCGAGATTCATATTTATGTCAAAAGTACCCAATTATGTATCGAAAATGCTGTTAATTAATTAGTGCTTTCCAGCAAGAGACACAGTAATGCAGTGACAAGATTGCTACAAATTCCTGCAGGACCTAAAATTCTAACTTTTTCCTGATATTCAGACAAAATTTCACAATTTTCTCTGACTTTTAACAATATTTGGAAATTTTTGCATTTTTATGCTGATTTAGAAATCATTAATTGTTGAGAGAGCAATTTAACATCGTGATGTATAAATTACTATTTGCATTTGACTATTAAATTAAATTAATAGACTATTAAATTAATTGACTATTAAATTAAAATTAGTACTTCAAAACTGTATACCAAACTTCTTTAAAACCAAGAATTTTAAGTTTTTAGAAAATCTCTGATCTTTCCTTATTTTCTCGAATTTTACTTGATTTTCAATGGCAACTCTAAATAATCATTTCGTCTTTTGTTTAATATTGGTAAACAACAAGCATGTAATGATTCATTACGCTGAAAAAAAAATTTTTCACTTGACTAAATTAATTCATCTTTATTTCTTTCGATGAAGAATGTATATGTATTTAAGTAAAAAAATATATTATATTTGAATTAAATATACTAAGAAAAATGTTTAGCTGAAAATGGTCGAATTAGATGATTTTGATTATATCATATAAATCGGAATTCTGATTATCTCAACTAGAATTCTAGTCAGAAAATTCTAATCAGAAAATTCTAATCAGAAAATTTTGATTTGTTTATCTTCAACCAGAATTTCGATTAATCCAACCGGACATTTTTCTTAGTGTACACACGTTCTCCAACAAAAGAAATAAAAATAACTAAGTCAATTTAATGAATTTTTTTTCTCAGTACTATACTGTGTCTCTTATTATAAAATTACTCATTATTATAAAAAGCACTCAACATGTTTTATGAGGTAGCAATAAAAAAAATATCAAACACACATGGAAAAAACAATTTTGCTAAAATATCTAAAAATTTAGCTAGACATAGATCTAAAAGTAATTTTATTATATCATCAAAATAACTACGTAAAAAACTCAAGTGTAATGAACAATATTGCAAAAAAGCATTGCTCATTATGCTTGAGCATTTTAATATTCTGATAGAAAAATACTCGAAATAATCATTTTAAGTGTCCTACAATTACTTTAATAGCTTAACAAAATTATATTCAGATTTATATCTGACTAAATTTTTAGATATTTCAGCAAAATTTTTCTTTCCAGGTAATAGTCTCAATGCTCCAATGTCAATATCAATAATAAATCATTCTGCATGATATCAAATAATGATATCAATAAAAATATGTCCCGCAAATAAAATATTATGCCTCTCTCTTTCGTTGAAATATATCTCACGGGATAAAAATATTGTGTTTTTAATGAGTATGTTTTTGCTGTTTACTAATTATTTGCTTCACTTGCTCCCGCTTTGTCACGTTAATGTTGCTAGTAGAAACGGTAAACATTTCCCGCAAAAAAGCGTCCAGGGGCGTTACACAGCATCGTGTTGTAATATACTACTTCTAATCATAGCTTCCATATGAAATTATATTCCATTGGTTTTAATGATATCACGCGACACAATACAATTGCATCTTATTAAGGAGCTTCCTCTGCTACCGAAATCGTAACTCGATCATTCCGGTGAAGTAAATCTCCGACAAAACGGAGATGAAAATTTAGAAAATTACGAAGAAACAAATAACGACGACAAGAAGCTTCGCCTGACCGAAAAGAATTTTCGATACAAGCGACATATCGAACTCGGTCGAGTGCTTTTTGTCGCGATGCACCGAGTTGGGCACCAAGTAAAATACCCGAAGTAGACGAAGACGAGAGCTTGGCCGCGGTTCGTCGAGATAGAAAAAGAAAAATCCTGTTTTTCTGACGGGAGCTTTTTATCGTTGGCATGACTCATCCAGTTTCTCGACGAAAGAGGGAGAGAAAGAGACGCACGCGCACACACATATATACATACATATATACCCACACATAAAAGCGAGATGGCCCATGGTAGCTCCTCGGTCGAAACTTCTTCGCTTCGCCGGGAGGTAACTGCTGGCGATTACGTTTCTTGCGTAAACTCGCCGGCGAGAGAGCAGCGTTCGCTATCGAGATGCGAGTCGCGCGCGCGGTTTAGAAACGAGCTCACGAATATACGAGTGCGATAGCGGATCGATCTACAAGAAACGAGAAAATAAACTGGCCTTTGGCGAGAATCCCTCACGTCAAAATCCAATGGCCTCCTTGCTTTCCTCGATAAATGAACCGGTAAATGTTTCCTGTGCCTAATCCGATACTTTCTGGATTACAATATTACTAAATTTATTATTATTATTATTATTTTTAATACGGGCTTTCACACGTTTATATCAAAGGTTACATCACAAAGGATTACTAAAAAAAATTTAAACTTCTATATTTTTTTTTAAACTTTGGTGTTAGGATAATTACAGAATACTTGAAGCTATTGTCATGAAGAAGTGTAGGGATAAAATAAATTAGTACTTAAAGAATAGAATATCTCCAAATAAATTTAAGTAAAATGTAATCGAATTGACGCTTATTCAGTGAGCATCAATAATAATAAAATTAATAATTGATTATGATCACAGTTTATAATAAATAAATTTAATTACCACGTTATGATAGAATAATCATTAATTAAGAAAATAACAGAAATTAATTGCTGCGATAATTGATGTGATAAAATCCTTAAAGTCATTATTAATAACTTCATATTAAAGCATACAAAATATTTTGAAATAGATAAAAGATTTAAACAAGTATAGATATTTAAATAAATATAATACATTTTATATTATGCAGGTATTAGTATTGATAAAAATTAATATTGATAAAAATGATTTATAATCGTGAGAATTCAAACTAGTATTCTATTTATAAATTTATGTCGAAATATGGAAAACAATTTAAGAAACAAAAATAATATACACACATATAAAATATATATATAAAATACATCACGTGTATAAAAAAATGCATAGAATTATAATTATAAATTATAGAGATGCGTCGAATTTCTATCTTAGGAATTGAATTATTAGATCATCTAACTTGAGCCGCAAAGAAAATAATTATCGAGAATAACGTTTATATTTGCGATGCGCACGATCGAAAATTATGGGCTGGATGTAATTAACGAGCGATTTCATACCTATCGATTCGTATGAAATCGATCAGACACCCTGTTTCATTTCATAAATCGGCCGTAAATCCGTGCAAACGTATGCGTTACGCGTGTTCGCTATTTTTTCGCGAATGGTACCAATATTAAACAAGCTTTATTTCATCAATGAATCAGCTGATTGTAAAGCGCAGCAGGATAACCGGCTCTCTTTCGTCAGCTTTGGTAAAATATTGAAGCGAGAGAAGAGTAGTAGTTCTTTGGAGCATTGCGCTTTGTATCTGGAGCATGCAAAAAAATTAACGCATTTCTTACTGTATTTTAATCTGCGTATGTAAACCATATACTCCCTCGTGAACCGTTCAAGTTTATAGGGGCTTTAATGGGTAAATTTTACTCTTAAATTGATTCTTGACGGTTAAAGACATTAGCCGAAAGATTAACAGTGTTATTCGAACTGGAACTAATGCAGTAACGGGATAATATAAGCATTTATTAATTCCCGGAGATGAAAAAAATGTGAAAAGAAGACAGAAATAGAAATACAAGATACTTAGAAATGATTATACAGAGACAGATAAATTTTTGACCAAATAACTTTTGTACATAAAAACAGATGAAAAATATAATAAATGTGATTTATAAAATATTTAATATTTTTTTTCATTTAATTCAAAGATACATTTTATAAATTAAAAATCCAAAGTTTTTATATTACAATCCTCTTATCAATTGCTCGTTCAATCACTCGAAAATAAAAGTATATTAAATCTTTTAATATGAAACTACAGAATTATTTGATTTTTATTTATATAGTAAAATGTATCTTTAAAGACATTAGTTGCTTTTTGATTTACATTAAAATCCAGAGATAATTCTCATTTGTGACATTATTATGACTTCAACTGAGATTTTACATTCTACAATCTGCACAAACTCATATGCTTTACCGAGTCTTATTCACATTAAAAGTCAGATTATAAATCCATGTTGTTATATATGATTGACTAATATCAGCAAAAAAAGCAGCTTGGAAATTATTCTAAGATTCTTTACATGATTGGTCTATACACTTAGGCCGGTATTCAGTCGGATCTTATATTTAAGACCGTCTTAAGACATTACTTAAGAGTTTTGAAATAAAAACTGATTATGAATACCAGTGAGTCTTAGATCCAGTGAGGAAAACTAAAAATAAAACCAATCATATTAAAGAATTTTACAACAGTTACAAAGATGATCTTTTGTTGAACGTGTTCTTATCATCAAAGTAAGTAAGTAATGAGGTCATCATTATCTAAATATAAAATAATTACATAACTTTAGACTGTACTATTATTTATAAAAATGGAAAGCAACTAATATACCTATCTTTATTTTTCGCTTTAAATTACACGCAAAGATTTGAAAGGATGCGATATTAAAATTCAAATTCTTTCTCCCTGAATCGTCGAGTAATTAATTTAATTTCATTTAATTTAATTTATCGTGTATACACAAAAAATAATATTATAGTTAATATTTGCGTTGTGAATTTCAATTAATCGTATATAAAAAAAAGAATGTGTACAATACAAAAGTCTTTTCAGCGTTAAATTATAAAGTATGTAGATACATCTACAATTTTCGATTTCTGATCGCAAAGTAGACAGTTTTCAAACAACTTACATGTGCCGTTGACATTTCTGCTAAGTATCCTGGGCACAGCGGTGACCGGTACACCAGTCGGTTGCTGATGATTGCTGGAGGGGCTGGCAACGACGACGACTGGGTTCTGGGGGGTGCAGGATGCGGACGCGAGGGTCGCGGCGGCGGTGGAACTGCCGCCACCGCCGCCGCCGCC